GGAGAGGGAGTTGGAGGAAATCATGTTTCCTTTTCCTGTTTTACAGAAGGATTTCCCCGTACTACACCAGAGAATACAGAGAGGACAGACAACCCAGATAGATTCTGAAAATCAATCAAGGAACAACTGCTTAAGTGTGGGAAGATATCCAGTCCTATCGCAGCATTGCTCAACACTGGAGAGTGAAATCATTATATGGAAATCAGTTGGGTGAGGGGAGCTTTAGCATATCATCTGATCTGAAAATTAGTGGTGTGGACCCTAACCTTCCCAAATGTTTATCTGTGGGTGATCGGTCAGGGTGAGGCTGGGAAAGAAGTGTGAGTGATTTCCAAGAGCGGTGAGAGCTTCAATCATTCATTGAGCCTCATGACCCAGTGATCCATCCCTGCAGGCTGTTCAAGTGTGAGGTGTTGGAGGAGAACTCTGCAGGCTCATAGGATAAGGTGCATTTGTTAGAAACACTGTTAACACGCAGACAGCTACATGGAAGAGAGACCATTTAAGTGTGAGGTTTGTGACCGAGCTTTTACCAAGTCATCAATGCTTGTGAATCACCAACGCATTCACACAGGGGAGAAACCATTTATATGTAAAGTGTGTAGCAAATCGTTCTCAGATTCATCAACCCTACGCAAACACCTACGCATTCATACTGGGGAAAAGCCATTCACGTGCAAAATGTGTAAAAAATCATTTTTGACATCATCAACCCTTCATAAACACCAACGCATTCACACACAGGAGAGACCATTCATATGTAAGGTATGTGACAAAGCATTCTCATGGTCAGAGAATCTCTGGAGACACCAACGCATCCACACAGGGGAGAAACTGTTTAAGTGTGAGGTGTGTGACAAATCATTCTCTGACTCATCAAGACTCCTGCTACATCAGAGGATTCACACAGGGGAGAAACCATTCATGTGCAAGGTGTGTAGCAAATCATTCTCAGTATCATCGCGCCTCCAAGTACACCAACGCATACACACAGGAGAGAAGCCATTCACATGTGAGGTGTGCAACAAAGCATTCTCAAATTCGTCGCATCTTCGCGTACACCAACGCATTCACACAGGGGAGAAACCATTTACGTGCGAGGTGTGCAATAAATCATTCTCATCATCATCGGAGCTCCGTGTACACCAGCGAATTCACACAGGGGAGAAACCATTTATGTGTGAGGTGTGCGACAAATCTTTCTCTCAGTCAGAGAACCTCCGCACGCACAAACGCATTCACACAGGGGAGAAACCATTCAGGTGTGAGGCGTGCAACAAATCATTCTCACAGTTAGGGAACCTCCGCACACACCAACGGATTCACACAGGGGAGAAACTATTCAAGTGTGAGGTGTGTGACAAATCATTCGCCGACTCATCAAGACTCTTGCTCCATCAGAGGAGTCACACAGGGGAGAAACCATTCACATGTGATGTATGTAACAAAGCATTCTCGGTGTTATCAACCCTCCACAAACATCGACATATTCACATGGCAGAGAAACCATTCAGGTGCAACATGTGTGACAAATTATTCTCGGATTCATCGTACCTGCGCAGACACCAACGTGTTCACACAGGGGAGAAACCATTCACGTGTGATATATGCGACAAATCGTTTTCAAGGTCATGTAACCTGCTATTACATCAGAGGATTCATACAGGGACAAAACCATTTATTTGTGAAGTATGTGATAAATCATTTTCATCATCATCAAACCTCCGTGTACACGAACGCACCCACACAGGGGAGAAACCATTTATGTGCAAGGTGTGTGACAAATCATTCTCTGAGTCAGGGATCCTCCACAAACACCAACGTATTCACACAGGGGAGAAACCATTCATCTGTAAGATATGTGACAAATCATTCTCACGATCAGACAGTCTCCGCAGACACCAACGCATTCACATGGGAGAAACCATTCATGCATGATATATGCAGCAAATTAGTCTTGAGCTCATAGGACCATCTGCTCCTGCAGAAGATCCATACAGGGATGTAACTATTCAAATATGAGGTTTGTGATCAACCACCACAGGATTTACAGAGGAAGAAATTCTTCAGGTGTGATGTTTGTGACAAACCTTTTGAACGGCCAATGTACCTCCTGGTCCATCAACACAGTCATAAAGGGGAGAAACCATAATGGTGTGAGGTCTGTAAGAAAGCTGTCACACAGTTGGTGGATCTGCTAGTACATCATATGAGGACTGCCTGACAAAGTTCTTCACAGCCTGTCCTCATAGAGTGAACCGTGTACACAGTCTTAGTGGGACTGGGACACAGAAGAAGCAGCTTTCACTAGTGCTGAGGGATTATGATGTCAACAATGGAGCCACCCTGCAGTGTGATGTCAGTGACACAGGACTTGGAGCAATCCCCATGCAGTGAGGGAAACCCGTTGGGTTTGTATCCAGAGAGTTAACACAAACTGAACAACAATGTGCACAGACTGAGAAAGATAAATGGGATATTGGTATTGCTTGTGAACTTTTCAACTAGTGGCTGTTGGTGGAGTCTAACCACAATCAAATTCAAAACGTCTTTCTCAACTACCCCAACCTGCAGCAAAACATTTGCAAAGGACGTGATTTTGTTTTCAGAGATATCAGTTAGAAGTGATGTACAAGCAAGGGAAGAAAACAAACCTCGTTGACATTTTGCTGAGAGCTGCACTCTCTGTGCAGGAAGTTGATGATTGTACAGAGTGTGAAATCTTCTTAGGGATGGTCAGCATTGCTTTGTATGTGGGAAACAGTGTCTCTCTATCCCTGATTGCGTTTTTTGATGATGTGACCAAGAAAATAGATGAGGGCAGAGGGCAGCAAGGCCTTTGACAAGGTTCTGCATGGTAGACTGGTTGGTAAAGTTAGATCACATGGAATTCAGGGAGAGCTTGCCAATTGAATACAAAATTGGCTTAACAGAGGGTGGTGGTGGTGGTGAAGGGTTTTTTTGGATTGGAGGTCTGTGACCAATGGTATTCCGCAGGGTTCAGTGCTGGGTCCACTGTTATTCGTCATTTATATAGATGATTTGGATCAGAATATAGGAAGCATGGTTAGTACGTTTGTGGATGACACCAAAATTAGTGGTATAGTAGACAGTGAAGAAAGTATTCTAAGAGTACAAAGGGATATTGATCAATTGGGCCAATAGATCGGGGAGTGGCAGATGGAGTTTAATTTAGATAAATGAAGATGAAGCATTTTGGTAAGACGAACAAGGGCAGAACTTACACAGTTGTGTTGAACAGAGAGAACTAGGGCTTCAGGTACATAGTTCCTTGAAAGTTGTAATACAGGTGTACAAGTGGTAAAGGCAACATTTGGCACACTCGCCCTCATTGCTCAGACTATTGAGCATAGGAGTTGGGACATTGCGACTGTAGTGTTTTACAGGATGTTAGTTAGGCAACTTTTGAAGTACCGTGTGCAGTTCTGGTAGCCCTGCTATAGGAAGGGTATTATTAAATTGGAGAGGGTACAGAAAAGAATCAGAAGACTGTTACCAGGACTGGAGAGTTTGAGTTATAAGGAGAGGCTGGATGGGCTGGGATTTTTTTCATTGAAGCATATGAGATTGAGGGGTGACCTTTTAAAATCATAAGATGAATAGCAAAGGTCTTTTCCATCGGGTCGCGAAGTTCAAAACTTCAGAGCATAAATTTAAAGTGAGAGGAGAAAGATTTAAAAGGGATCTGAAGAGCAACATTTTCACACAAAGGGTGGCTTGTATGTGGAATGAATTGCCAGAGGAAGTGGTGGATGCAAGTACAGTTACAACATTTAAAAGAATTTGGACAGGTAAATGATTAGCAAAAGTTTAGAGGGATATGGGCCAAACACAGGCAAATGGGACTCATTTAATTTAGGAAACCTGGTTGGTATGAACAAGTTGGACCAAAGGGTCTGTTTTCCTGCTGTATGACTCTGTGACTATGACTCTACTCAACTAGAAGAAACAGCATGATCTTGACTCAACTTTCCCAGTTTCTAGATTGTTGGAGGCAATGACACCATGGAAATTGCTCATGCTCAGGAAACTTGAATTTCTGACGGCCTTTGCTTGGCTCTGAAAAATTCTCCAACCCTGAGTTAGAGTCCGAGACTTCAGACAGTTCCGATTACTCACCTGAATAGTTACCCAGGAAATGATGGACAAGCGAGAAAACAAATCTAACTCCTAATACCATACAACTGCAACCCCAGTCACTAACATTGACCTCCCACTCTCCCTTCTGACCACTTGACTGCCGCCCTTGCACCCACTTTCCCAACCCATTGAACCTGACCACATTACCTGACCTGACTTGATTAGCCTGAACCTAAACTGTTAACCTGACAATGCCCCAACACACCTAACTGTTCACCCACCTCACACCTACCATCCTACCCATCTTCCACTGTACCAGATTACCTCACTAACGCTGCCCACTTTCCCACTCTACCACCGATCCATTTGTCTGTTTACCAACGTTCACATTGGACATTTATCTATGGTGACTAGTGCTGTAAACAGGAGATATGTCTTCACTAATTGTCTTCATTGCTCTGAGCATGGATTCCTGCACTAAGGGAGTTTATTTGATACTGCAGCAGACGTTTGTCCAGAAAGTCATGTCCGGGTAAATGGGTAGTTGTCTATCTGATTAGCATCGGACACAGGTTTTCTGATTCTGAATGGAAAAATTTGAATGAATTTGACAACAGATAAGTATCTTGCTAAATCAAGCAGACTATCCAAAAAGGTGCAACTCTTCAAATGTTACAGGAGGTTGTGATTAATAATGGTCTGAAACTATCAAGGACACCCCTATTACTATAAGAGTATTGGACAAAGATGAGGTGATTGTCCAACATGGCATCCTGTTTAAAGGGAACAGGGTCATTATTTCTAAAGAGATGCTGAAACACATCCCACACAATTCATCAAGGAATTGAGTCTAGTCTAAGGAAGGTAACAGAAGTGTTCTATTGTCTACTGAATGAAGGACCACATCAGCCAGTGCAGTGCTTGTAATCAACAAGAAACTAATCAAGATAAAGAGCTGCTCATAACCTGTGACATTCCCAGACAGCCCATGGATGAAGCTTGGAGTACAGCTCTTCAATCTCACTGGAACTGATTTTCTCGTCACAGTCGACTACTATTCAAATGATGCAGAGTTAAAGCAGCTGACATCAATGAACTTTCTGAAAGAAAACCTCAGAGGTCATGACATTCCTGACATTATGATCTGTGGTAATGACCTCAATTCATGACCTCCACACAACCCCAGTCAAATGGAAAGGCTGAGATAGCAAGGGAAGAGATGTGTTCAAAACAAACTTAGAGTGGAGAATCTCACTTAATAAGACATGGAAAGTTGTCCTGTCATTATCTAATGTCATACTCCACCCAGACTACTCTTCCAATGGATAAATTACTGAGGCCAGAAGTTGTAATAGGAGTAGGTGACAAGTTCAAAATGAAGCATTGGAAAGTTGGTTTGATAAAGCTGTCACATTGTTGACAATTGGACAGTCAAAGTGCAAACATTCAATACATTGAACAAAATCAGTTCACTTGTCAACTTGGAACCTATACAGAGGAATTTTCACCCTGATCATGCATGGGAGTGTGTACAATTTGATTTATCACAGCAAGCACAGCCACTGACCTGCAACTGGTGGCATCGAGGCCATTTTGACAAGAGTGTTTCATTAAAGAGTGCTAGTAAAACTAGACTCAGTAGGAATCAGGGAAAACTTTCTACTGGTCTTCTCTTGACCATTGTTTGCAATTACTCAAAATAGTGCACAAAGAAAGTTATCACACATGAACAAAGTAAGTTCTAGTCTGTTCTAATTTTGTCAATGCCTGATTGCACATTGTGCAAACAATATTAAAGGATTCAAATCTTCTTATGTGACTGGTTGGCTGATCATATGGTGCTCGACATTGTCTCTCTGTGGAATGTTGGCACAAGTCAGGAGTTTAATGGAATAATCTGTATTTGCCTGGATGATTGCATGCCCAACAATGCTCAAGAAGCTTGACATCATCTGGACAAAGCAGCCTGCATGATACACCATATCCACAAACATTCACAACCATCTAGGAGAAAGGCAGCAGATAAATGGAAACACAACCACCCATAAGTTTCCTCTCCAAGCCACACACCATTCTGAATTGGAAGTATATCACTGTTCCTTCAGTATGGTTGGGTGAAAATTCTGGAACACTCCGTGTATTTGTATTGTGGGTCTACCTGCAGAGAATTGATTGCAAAAAGATGGCTCACCACCACTTACACAAGGGAAATTAGGGATGGGCAATAAATGGTGATCAAGTCAACGACATCAATATCCTAAGAATGAATTTAAAAAATCACTTAAGAACCTGCTCCTTCACAGCAGACAGCAACAACACTTGGTTAAGTGTTTAATAATAACAAGGCTGAGGGGTGACCTTACAGAAGTTTATAAAATCATGAGGGGCATGGATAGGGTGAATAGTCAAGGTCTTTTCCCCAGAGTAGTGGAGTCCAAAACCAGATGGCAGAGGTTTAAGGTGAGAGGGGAAAGATTTATAAAAGGACCGAAGAGGCAACTTTTTCACTCAGAGGGTAGTGAGTGCATGGAATGAGCTGCCAGAGGAAGTGGTGGAGGCTGGTACAATTTCAACATTTAAAAGGCATCTGGATGGGTATATAAATAAGAAGGGTTTAGAGGGATATGGGCCAAATGCTGGAAAATGGGACTAGATTAATTTTGGTTATCTACTCAGCATGGACAAGTTGGACCGAAGTGTCTCTGTTTCCGTGCTGTACAACTCTATGACTTGTCACAGTGACAACATTCTATAGAGAGAAAATGGTGGACATTGGAAGAACAGCCAAAAAAACTCATTAACCCATCAGGAGACTTAAATTTTAAAATTATGTATGCCATGTGTGTACACAGACAGACAAAATTAGTACAGACTAGAAAGATCATTTTTGCTTGTGTGATAACTTTATGCACTATGTAGAGTAATTGCAAATAATAATGCATACAATGTATTTAGCTTTCTTTACAAAAATGAGGGTATTTGGATTAGTTGGTTCATACACTGTGATTTACTGCATTATTTGATATTTGATATCACCATGTGTAAGTAAAGCTTTGAGAGCAGCAGCCATTTTACACCATGGGAACAATCTTTAAAATTCAAAATGCTCCAAATATTTCTGGAAAAAACAAGTTTCCTGAAGCTTGGGAAATTGACCAGTGAAACAGATGATAGAGAAGGACACATAAAATGGAGATAGGAGAGGGAGAAACAAAGAGAGCGAGGTAGGCTAGTGACTCAGTATTCAGAGTTTCTCTATGACTCTGTGAATGCCTTAGTTCAAGGAGCGATGCTATGCTCGAGCATGTGACTAATGAATCACTCAAGCCCCTCACCTGAGGTAATAATGTAATTATGACTATATTAAACCATTTGTAATTATTTTTCTTGCTTGTGACACAAATGAAATAAACGTTGGCCACAGTATGTAGACTGGAGTCATGAATATGACTGACTGGTGATGCTTGAACATCCAAAAACCTCAAGCGTAATTTGAAGAGCCACATCAAACGAATGCAATTGACAAAAACTCAATACTCTCATTACTCCCATCTACGCCATTTATATGGTTGGTACCAGATTCTGGGCTGATGTTTAATAAACCAGTGTTAAAGATCACAAAACTTCAATTTAATCAGTGTAACTGACATTTTAAAACCCTAATATGATCAATTTCAACCAGATTATTTTGATAAAACCAACACAAACTGGCATAAACTGTTGGCTACAACCTGTGTATTTGTGGTGATTGCATATTTGTCAAGGTGTTTTACTAAAGTAAGCAAAAACTGAAGCAAAACAATATGTATGACCGATTGAAGCTGTTTTATTCAAGGTGGTACACTGTCATCTGATTGGCTTCTTCATCAATGCAGTGTTTAAACATCCACTAGGTAATTTTGTAAGATTGAAGATACATTTTCAGGCTTCATTGTTGCTCATGATATTGCCGTTGCAACTGCAGGGATGCACTTTTAGTCCATGCAATCACTGTGTCAGCAAATAAAATTGCTCACTGCCTTACATTCTGGACTAAATTCTTAAATTTAGTAATTTGTGTACTAATTTTAATTTATATTTTGTCGTGGCTTTTTGTACTTGAATATGCAATTGTAGATGGCTCCTGAAATTCCTGTGAGTAGTGAATGGACAAAATGCTGATTGAAGAGAGGAAGACAGCAGTGAGTGGAGAAATCCACATGTGACCACTGATTAGTGGACTAGGGTCAAAAAGATGCGTATTACTGCTTTAAATGTTTGAAAGAACTTATTAGTTTTCTGGCTGGACCTAACAAAATGTGCACTGAGACTTTTACCTTTAAGAAGGCCTTAGATAATAAGTGCTGAAGTTGTTTTTTCTAACTGAACCTGAGAACACTGATTTAATATGAGAGAAAGGATCAAGCTGAGCAGAGGCAAAGATGTTATCAACAGTCTGCAAACATCCAAAATGAGAGGGGATTGGATAAATATATTTGCCATCTTTGCGTGACATCTTGAAGGGGGTGTGAGCATCAGTCTGAGTGGCATTCACACGATAAACATTGGACCTTGAGAGGGTCAGTGTGATCATTGGGAGACCTGGTCAGGTTAATCACTGAGATGGTGAAAAGATCTCATACAGGATTTTGTCAAAGGATGGACTCTTATCACACAAGCCAACCAATTGTCAGTCTCATGAATTACCTGGAATAGCTCCATACACAAATGTATGTGTATGGATACTCAATAAAGAAGCTTGATTAACCACACGATTGTTCTGCACTGTTATGTACCCACACTAAGACCAGAACTGGAAGCTAGATATTTCTACAATCTACAGAATTGTTACAGTGTAGAAGGAAGCCAGTCAACTCATTGTATCTGCACTTGGTCTTTGAATGACCATTATGATTTAGTGCCCTCATCCTGTTTTTCTTCCTGTAAATCTGTACGTTGTTTCTATTCAAATAATGATTTGATGGCCTCATCAATGCCTCAAATGAACATGCCTCCACCATGCTTCAGGCAGCACGTTCCAGATCGTAGCTGCTTGCTGTGTGATTTTTTTTCCCTCACATTGCATTTAATTCTTTTGCAAATTACTTGAAATCTGTTCCAACTTGTTCTTGAGTCTTTTATGAGAGGAACAGTTTTTCCCCATCAGTCCAGAACCCCTCATGATCTTGAAAACTTCTATCAAATCTCATCTTAACCAGTCCCAACTTCTCCAATCTATCCTCATAGCTGAAGTTTCTCATCTGGGGAACCATTTTGGTAAGCTTCTTTATTTTACAACATGTCGAGTTTCAACAAACTGTAGACGGGGCAAGGTGGAATATTTGTGCCCAGAGCCTGAGTAATACTTCGTGTGAACATGATGACAACTTTAATCAATGACCTTGTAATCATCCATCTAGAGTTGCAGTGGAGCCCACAACCTTGTTCTCGAAGTCAGAGAGTTGTGAGTTCAAGTCCTACTCCAGGTGGACACTCAATGCAGTACCGAGAGATGGAAGAGATTATATTGATAGCCAGGGCAAGACCATGGTGGGATTTGAAAACAAGCTCAAAGGACACTGAGCTTTCCTGGGAACAGTGGGTTATTCCTCGAGTTTCTGACACATTTTAGAACTGTGTCCAAACAATGAGAGAATGAAAGCAGAATGGTCCATTTGCAGTACTAATTGAAGACAATCACTTAATGTGTCCATTCCAGCTGACACCAGGGATTTTACCACCTTTCACAGCTTCAGAAATCCAGACACAACGACAACACTGATACCTGTAGCTCCAACTAGTTACCACTTTAAATCAAATCAAACTTTCAGGCACAAAAACAGAAGTTGCTGGAAAAGCTCAGCAGGTCAATAAAGAAAAAAAATCAGAGTTAATGTTTCAGGTCCAGTGACCCTTTCTCAGAATGCAACTTTCAGACTGCCAGTTTATGTGGGGAGGCATTCTGGATGCAAACCTTCAGACTTGACCCCTTTGAATTGAATACAAAGATAATAAGCTGTCAGCCTGACTTAGTTAGCGTTCACATCTCTGAGTCAGAAGTTGAAGTCTCTCCAGAAACTTGAGAACTGAGACTGAGTGCAAGACTAAGGATATACTGCACTGTCAGATATTCCATTTTTCAGATGAGTTAATCTGAGGCCCCATCTGCCCTCTCCAACGAAAGCAAAAAAGCAGGGGGTGTTATTCCTAATATCCCTGTTAATATGGATCCCACAACTAATGTTACAAAAATACTTTATCTGGTCATAACCATATCTCATGTTGGATCTTGCTGTGCACCAAGTTTCTTAAATAACAAAAGTGACAAATACAAAAAGCACTTAACTGGCTATACAGTACATTTGGGTGCCTTGAATTTTTGTCAGTTGATATTTTCTTCAGTAGGGAATCCCATTGATGGAGAAAGTACCCCAGCCGAACGACACTGACCAATTGTTGTTGGAGACAAGAGGTATTTAAGGAACATAGGAATGGAGTAATCCCCAGAGCCTATTACACTGTTGAATTAAACCATGGCTGATCAGTATCTTAATTCCATCCAACTTTCTCTAATCTGTTATCCTTAATCGCCTTGCCCAGCAATAAACGTATTGATCTCAGTTTTGAATTTTTTCATTGACCTTCAGGTTCAACAAGTTTTTGAGGACAGAGTTCCAGATTTCTAGTCCCCTTTTTGTGAAGAAATGTTTGCTGACATCATCCCAAACACCCTCACTCTAATTTTAATGGTCTGCCCCTTGTTCTGGACGCTTCCACGAAGGAATCCTTTCTCTCTAATTACATCATTTTTCCCCTTTTTTGATACATCCAAAAGTGCTCTTACACAGAACTGAATGTTTTTTTTCCCCATCACTAAATCATCCATAGTACTTTTTTCCATTTGTTTACCACCACCAGTAAATTATCCACATTTCCAATTGACTAATTTTCATGCAAAACCCGTTAAGTGCAATACAAACCGTCAAATGTGAGGGAGAGGAGGAGGGGCTTGAATCAAAATAGAGTTGGAAGGGGAGATAAGGCACTCCACCCACTGCAGTGCCCACCTCTCTCTAAAGGCATTAAAAGTATCAGTGGACACTGCATGCTCCCTCTCAAAGTACACCTGAGCATAAATGTAAGCATGTTTAGGAGCAGAAAGTCAGTAGCTGTGAAACCCTCCACAGGCCATTGCCTGTACCTATTGATAGGCAACTTGGTCAGGCACAGGAGCAGGCTCATGAGGAGATCCTCTGCCTTGTCCACATTCCTCCGGAATGGATGTCCAATGATGAGGAGCATGGGGCTGAAGTAGAACCAAAAGCGCAACAAAAGATTTTCCAAATAACTAAAAAAGGGGAGCAATCCCCCATAAACAATATATACATGATCCATGTACTCCACAGCACTGCAAAATAAAACAGTTGGGCTGGGAACCCCTGAACCATCTAAAACTGTGGTTACTCAGGCAGCTGCATGCAACACCCTCCACCCAGGTAGACGATGGAAAGTGGGAGGACTTTTGTGCAAAAAGCCCTCCACTGGGGATTTGTGGCAGTCTCTAATTACTCAATCAACTCAATTAATCATCTAAAACACATGACCAGAGTTGATGTCTGCGCAAAGTCCTTTACATACCTCACACTTGAACCGTTTCTCCCCATTGTGTATATATTGTCTGCAGAGGCCCCCAAGTTCAAGAAGGCTTGGTGACACACCCTACACTTACAGAATTTCTCCCTGTGTAAATTCTCTGGTGCATCAGCAGGTCAGAGGAGCGGGTAAAATTATTCTCACACACCTAGCATTTGAAGATCTTATCTCCTGCATGAATCCTCTGGTGCATCAAGAATTCACAGAGATTTTACTGCAAATCTCACACTTGGACAGATTCTCCTTGTGTGAATGCATCAGTGTGTACGGAGGTTCGATGACTCTGAAAATCATTCTTTGCACACCTCACAGTGAATGGTGTGAATATACCAGTGTTTCACCAGGGCTGGTGATTATGCAAAGCCCTTGTTGCACACCTTGTACATGAACAGCTTCTGCCCTGTGTGAATGAGTTGGCAATGCATAAGTATTGATGACCATGCAAACATTCAGTCCCACCCCTCACACTCAATGTTTTCTGCTCCATGTAGGTGGTCTTGTGTTCCCAGTGGTACAACCGATGCATCTTATGTGTTTGGAAATTGTATTCAGCCTGTGTAGCGGTTCTTCACTACCTTGGGTGTTATGAGTCTTCCTCTTCTGATCTGCTGTCAAACACGTCCAAGGATATACATCCCACACTGATGTTGTCAGTTTGAAAGCCTGTGAGGTTGAAGAATGCTATTCCCACACTAGAAATCTCTGTCAGCGTTTACCAGGGAATGGAGACAGCAGCTGCAATAAGTGAGGTTTTAATCAGATGGGACAATCACAAGTTTAAAACCCCACCTGGTCTTCAAGCTTCAGGAAACTCCAGGAATATGTGGAGTAATTTGAAAACTAAATAATGTTGCTGTAGTGTGTAAAATGGTGACTGGCCTCAAAACCTTTATTTACAAACAGTGCCTTATGCCTTCTTCCCAATGTACTTTCTGATCTATCTTGGTGTCAGCTGTGAATTTAGCCCCTTGCTCCCTCATCTAAGTCATTGATGTAAACTGTGAGTGGTTGGATGGCCCAGCACAGACCAATGTGAGATTTTATCAATCACATTCTATCAATCTAAGAGCCATTTATGCACAATCCCTATTTCCGACCATCTGGACAATTTTCTATCCAAGCTGATGAGTTGCCCCCTACACTATAAAGTTTATTTTCTGTAGTAACCTTTATGTTGCACCTTATAAAATGCCTTTTGGAATTCCAAGTGCCAAACATCAATGGGCACTCCTTTATCCACAGTACATGTTATTCCTTCAAAGAACTCTAATAAATTAGTTAAACATGGTTAAACATGGTTTCCCTTAGACAACACCCTGCAGAATCTTCCCAAATATCCTGAGCTTTTCTAAGTGCACAGCTATAACACATTCCCATGATAAATGTCAAGCTAACTGATTATACTTTTTTGTTTCCTGTCTCCCTCCCTTCTTGGGATTGTATTTGCTATTTTCTAGTCCGATTGAATCTTACCTGAATTAAGGAATTTTGGAAAATTAACAACAATGCATCTACTACCTCACCAGCAACCTCTTTTAAGTCTATCTGGAGCCAGAGACTGGTCTGCCCAGAGAAGCAAAATACATGTTATTTCATTCTCCATTTCCTTATTATCCAGCATTAAATCCTTATTCTCTCACTCTCCAACACTCACTTAGTTGCTTCTTTTTTAAATAACTGTAGAAATGCTCACTATCCATTTTTACATTTGAGTTCACTTCCTCTCAAACTCTGAGTTCTTCCTCCTGATTAATCTTTTATTCTCTGCTCTTATTAATATTGTAACCCATCTTCTGACCTGCCAGTCATCTTTATACAGTTATATGCTTTTTCCTTAAATTTCAGGTTTTCCCTAACCTCTTGAGTTAACCACAGATTGTAGATCCTTCCTTTTTCTTTATAGCAGGAATATACTTCTGAGTATTCTGAACTGTTCTCAAGAGTGCTGTACAGCACCATGACTGACTGAGTTGGTCGAGTCCTAAAATATGTTATTGCTAGATTGGATTTGTGGCAAGTGGCAAGGGAACCAACAAGAGGAAGGAACCTTAATTGACCTCACTCTCACCAAAGTGTCTCCAAACTACTGACCTGCTTTTGTGGCCACAGTATTTCTATGGCTTGTCCAGTTCAGTTTCAGGTCAACGGTAATCCCAGGATGTTGATAGTGGCAGATTCAATAACAATGAAGACATTGAATATCAAGAGGTAATAATTAGGTTGTCTCTTATTGGAGATGGTCATTACCTGGCATTTGTGTGGGACAAAGTTACTTGGCACTTCTCAGCCCAAGCCTGGATATTGTCCAAGCCTTGCTTCGACTAGACATGTATTAGTGTCGTTACATCAGTATCTGAGGAGTTGCAAAACGGTGCTGAATGTTGTGGAATCATCATCATCAAAAATCTCCAATTTTGACTTTATGTTGGAAAAAAGGTCATTGATGAAGAAGCTGTTTGGGCCAAGGATACTACCTCAAGGAACTCCCACAGAGATGTCCTGGAGCTGAGATAGCTGACCTCCAATAATCACAACCATCTTCCTATAAGCCAGTTGTGACTTAGTTAGTGCTCTCATTCTGAGTCAATGATTCTGGGTTCAAGTCCCATTCCCAAGCATTAAAGCTGACACATTGCTGTTTGTGAGTGCATATGATTTAAGAAATCAGAGATTCACAAGACTACACTTCAAAACAATCTTTATTAGCTCTAGTATGCTTTTCAATGAATCTCTCCAGTGTGGAAATAGGCCCTTCGGCCCAACAAGTCCACACTGACCCTCAGAGCATCCCACCCAGACCCATCCCCCTTTGACACACCTAATCTATACATTCCTGAACACTTTGGGCAATTTAACATGGCCAATCCACCTAGCCTGCACATCTTTGGACTGTGGGAGGAAACCGGAGCACCCAGAGGAAACCCATGCAGACACGGGGAGAACATGCAAACTCCACACAGACAGTCGCCCAAGGGTAGAATCGAACCTGGGTCCCTGGCACTGTGAGGCGGCAGTGCTAACCACTGAACCACCGAGCCGCCCCGTTCGTATTCGAAGATTGAGAAAGTTGATACATAAATACAAGTCACTCGTCTTCCTTAGAGAAATGATATCCTACATAACAAATGAAAAGTATAAACCCATTGGTGGAGAAAGTAACACAACCAACAGTGACATTGATTAATATATTGTGCACATGATTCCTACTGTTTCAGTGAGTAGGAACACATCATGAGGTTGTTGACTTGCTCGCCGAGCTGGCTTGTTCTTGTTGAGACATTTCGTCACCATGCTAGATGACATCATCAGTGGAGCCTCTGATGAAGCAATGTTATTCTACTGTGCTTGGAATTTATACTGTTTGGTCCGTTATGGTGAGTAGTGTCATTTCTGGTTTTGATCTGTATGGGTTTGTATATGGGGTCCACCTAGCATGAAACGTCTGAACGAGAACATGCTTGCTCAGCAAGCAAGTCAACACCTCACGCACAACCCGAGCTACAGATCTTTGCCAAAATTTTAAAGGAACACATCATGCTGACAAATCAATTTAGGTTGAAGTTATAAGTGAGTTTATTGTGAGTTACAAATGTATACAGATAATTGATAAAACAGACAAAAAATGCTCAACTTAAACCTAACTTTGAATCAATTAAAATAACAAAGCATTTGAAAATGACTCAAGATCTTTCCCACAACATGAAATGAATCTTGGAACAGTGTATGGTGAATATATCACAACATTATTACATCAACATATTGATGGGCTGAAGGAGCTCAGGTCTGTAGAGACTTAGCCCCTTCACTCAACATACTCAGGATAGTGGTCCTGGAGAACCAGAGGGCACAGACTGGAGGGGATTGGTAAAAGAAGCAACAGAGAAATGGAGAAGTCTTTTCACACAGTGTATGGTAAGAGTGTGAATGAAGCAAGTTCAATGAGGCATTCAAAAAGGAATTGATTATCTGAAAAGAAAGAATATGCTGTGGATAGCAAGTTGAAAAGTGGTCCAAGGTGTGTGAAGACTCAGTTTCATATGTCATAATTGAAAAGGATCCACCCTGACGTGTTTCCTCTGATGTCTGGTGAGGGTCAAAGACACCAATAAAATCTTTAATGCAAATCTCACAAATCTCTTCCAAATAGCACTCTTGTGTTAAAAGTAATTGTGGCAAATACTTCTTGGATGTAAACAAATCTGTAGAATGCATTCTGTAAACCTTTTTGCATCTTTATCTCTTCACCTTCAAGATTCCCCTTAAATTTCACCTCTTTGACTATATTTTTGTTCATCCCCTCCTAAAACCTCCTTGTCTGTCTCTGTATTAACTCTTAGGAGCAAATTACTGCAGATGCTGGAAGGTGTACTGAAAACAACCTTCATCTATACTAGAGTCATCTGGACTTGAAACGTTAGCTTGGTCTCTCTCCATGGATGCTGTCTGACCTGCTGTGATCTCCAGCATTGGTTGTTGTTGGTGTTAAATTTTGTCTGGGTACATCTTAATTAAACACTTTGGAATGTTTTACTATATTAAAGGTGCTCTGGAAATACAAGTTGTTGTTCTCTGATAATCCCTCCAATCCTCAAGGTACTGACCTACAGGACAGTCTGTAGACATGGATCGGCCTCTAGTGCTCTGTTCGAGTGGCCATTCAGCATGTGGAGAGCCAGACAGTGAATGTTGTGAGACAACAGAGACTGTCACAGCCAAGACACATCCCGCCCTCCCACTGATTTCCCAGCTGGGCTCACTGATGAGAAATTGGACTCCTAGCTGATTCTCCTCCTCCATAGACCAGAGTTTCACAGGATAACTGAAGTTCCTCCATTACTAACGGCTCCTCCTCCCCCCGGTCGGGTGCTTGTGCTGGAAAATCAGTGGCTGGAGCCCCTTTTTCAACTGAGTATTTGATTGCCTTCTTAGCCAAAGTGCAGCGAAATTGATGGTTCATGATTAGTTTAGTTTAGTTTTAATCAGTACATTAATTGACTAAATTAATAATAAACTATAGTTGAGCACAAAACAGTGTATGTAAACTTTAGAGATAGTAGGAACTGCAGATGCTGGAAAATCTGAGATAACAAGGTGTAGAGCTGGATGAACACAGCAGGCCAAGCAGCATCATAGGAGCAGGAAGGCTGACGTTTCGGGCCTAGACCCTTCATCAGAAAACTTTAGTTCTTCAATATCAGGTGACTCTTCGGAGCTTCAATTGACAGCGAAATGCACCATGGAGTTTTAAACAGAATACAAGTAACACACTCATGAATTAATTACTGATCAAATGCTGACAGGTCTCTGTTTAACTTACTTCTATCCTACAGAGCCACATTGGGAGAATTTGCAATCTTCAAGGTTAATGGGCAAGCTTACATTCAAATGTCATTACAACCCTTATCCACAACCTGGTGTTATGAACAGAGGAAGGGATTTATACAAGGAAAGTACAGCTCTATTCTTTATTAGCTTGGTTTTAAATCGTAGTCCTTCAGAAGAGAAACAATAATAACTGGCTAAATGGATTCTTAGTATTAGTTAAGTTTGCAACTGTATAATTCTTTTAAAGCTTTTATACCTCAAAACTGAAAGTATAAGAATATCTGATTTTTATAGACTGCTTATGATGCACATACTTTATAAACACAGTTTTTAACTGCTACCTACTTTGTAATAGTACGTTGTGATCTTCTGTGTTAATTTTATAAGTTTAAGTTTACAAGCAACCTTGCTTTCAAGGTGAATAACACATTCCAAGCACCCACAACCAGAGAGAGCAAAAACATCACCTAACAAATGGTCTTTAAAAAAAAAAATCAGTAGTTTGACTTAATGAGAAACTCTCACCAATTAAACAAAACTGAGACAATGAGGACATGACAACATACATTCCCCTATTCTATACAAATAGGCAAGAATGATACTATAAAATTTCCTTGTATCTTAGCAAGTCATAAAATAACAGAAACTAACTATAACAAGAAGTGTTTTTTTCTGTTCGTTCATTGGCTGAACCAGCATCTATTGCCTATCATGGACTGAGAAGGTGATGGTGCTTTCTTGAACCACTGCAGTCCAGATGGTGAATGTATCCCCACAATGCCATTCGGAAGGAAATTGCAGGATTTTGACCCAGTGATATATTTCCAAGTCAAGATGGCGAGTGGCTTTGGAAGGTTTATTTTTATTCTTTGATGGGAAAGTGTGACTGGCTTAGCCAGCACTTATTGCTTATGTCTAATTGCCCAGAAGACAGTTAAGAACCAGCCACTGTGTGGTTGTGTATCAATCATGTGTATGCCAGACCAGACTGGTTCGGATGGTAGTTTGCTTCCCTCAATGAAATTAGTAAACTGGTTGGTTTTTACAACAATCGCTGCCACTTTAAATTCCAGATTTTTACTGAATTCGAATTTCACCATCTGCCATGTTGGGATTCAAACCCTGGTCCCAGGACATTAGCCTGAGGTATTGGATCACTAGTCCAGTGACATTACAACTACGCTAATGCCTCCCCATAACTCACAGGGGAAACTGCAGGTGGTAATGTTTCAAGGTCCTTCTAGATGGTAGTGGTCGTGGGTTTGGAAGGTGCTGTCTAAGGAACCTTGGTGAACCTGTCCAGTGCATCCTATAGATGGTACACACTGCTGTTGTAGCGAGGTGGTGGAGGCAAAGAATGTTTGAGCACGTGGCCTCAATCATGCAGCTACTTTGCTTTGGATGCTGGCAAGGTTCTTCATCAGTCTATGGGAGTAGGGGAAAAATACTGGTACACATCGTAGCAGAAAAGTATCTTGTGCAGGTTCACTGATGTTCCAGTAGGTCGAACAACTGTGTGAAGACTTTATTACGGAACTGACACCAATAGAGTTTCTCCCCATGTGTGTGCATTCATGGACCAGGAAGCACACTGACTTTGTGAATGCCTTGTCATACTCTTGCACATAAATTATTTTTTCTCCTGTGGGGGTCCTTTGGTATCTTATGATGGTTGAAAACTTCAGGAGGACTTTATCTTAAAATTCACACTTGGATGGTTTCTCACCGTGTTGATTTTCTCATAGTCAGGAAGCTTCAATGAGCTTGTCAAGGATTTGTTACACACTTTATCTGAATAGTTTCTCTTCAGTGTGAGTATGCCAATGATACATCAGGCCTGATGAGATTGTGCAAAGCCCTTGTTAAGAAATTCACACTAAAACAGCTTCTTGCCTGTAAGAATGCATTGGTGATTCATGAGTGTTGCTAAGAGTGAAGACTCAGTCACACATCTCCCAAGTCAATGATTTCTCATCTGCATGAAACAGCTGGTGTATCAGAAAGGGTGTCTTTCTTGTGAAGCCTTCATCACAGACCTCACAACTTTTCCTCAACGTGAGTGTGTCAGTTTCTCAGGAGCATTATTGACTGTGTGAATGCGACGGTGATCCAACATTCCCCACAACTGTTCAAACTCCTTATTACACACTTCACACGTGAATATTTTCTTCTCCCCTGTGTGTACGCGGCGGTGACTCACCAAGCCTGGCAGCTGAGCAAATCCCTTATTACACACCTCACATTTGAAGGGCTTCTCCCCAGTGTGAAGGCGTTGGTGTTCACGTAGGGTCGATGACTGAGAGAATGATTTCTTGCAGACTTCACACTTGAATGGTTTCACCCCAGTGTGAATGCGTTGATGTGTTCGGAAGTGAGAGGAGCGCGAGAATGATTTGTTACACACCTGACACCTGAAGGGTTTCTCCCCTGTATGGATGCTCTGGTGTTCCAGAAGCCTTGTTGATGTTGGAAAAGCTTTATCACAAACCTCACATTTGAAGGGTTTCTCCCCTGTGTGGATGGTTTGATGGACCAGGAGGCTTGATAACTGTGTGAAGGCTTTGTCACATACCTCACATCTGAATGGCTTCTCCCCAGTGTGAATACGTTGGTGAACACGGAGGGTCACTGACTGCGAGAATGATTTGTCACAAACATCACAGGTAAATGGTTTCTCACCCGTGTGAGTGCGTTGGTGTACGAGGAAGTGAGATGAGCATGAGAATGATTTGTTGCATACCTCACACTTGAATGGTTTATCTTCCATTGAACTGGCCTTGTGTTAACTGCACTTTGTGTGTTATAAGGTCTTATGAGCCTGTGGAGCCCACCTCACACATGAACAGCCTCTCACCTACAGGAATGAATCATGGTTCACGGGGTTCAATAAATGATTGAAGCTCTCACCACACGTGGAGCCCATTCACACTTTTTCCCAGTCTCAACCTGACTGATCACTCACAGCTGAACCCTTGAAAAGGTTGGTTCTGATGGAATGCTCCATACCACTGACCAGTTCTGGTGATATGTCAAACCCCTGTGACCCAAACCAATTCCCAATTTCTCAGTGTTGAGCAATGCTGCAAAGGGACTGGATATGTTCCCACAGTTGTGCAGTTGTTCCTTGGGTGATGATCAGGATCTACCTGCAGTGTCTATCCTCTCTGTATTCTCTGGTGTACGGTGCAATCCTTCTGCAAAACAGGAAAAGGAAACATGAGTTCCTATACCTTCCTCCTCTCCTTTGCTGAAGGAGCCGACTCCTCATTTAGAGACTGTTCCACAGTGAGTGCCTGTCCGCTGTTCGTGTGTGTGCGTGCGCGTGTGTGGGAAGAGAGTGTGGTGGTGGTGGTGGTGGGGAAGTGGGTGGAATCAGATACAAGATCTTTCTTTTTCCTCACTGAAATGTCACAGGACCTGTTTCCAACAGGGGCACTGGACCGATGAGAAATATTAATTCAGTGGAGACTTTGAAATTTCTCCCTTGTTTTTCAAAAATATTGGAGGAAAGCACACTGGACAAGAAGTGCAAGAAGCTGAGGAAAATACTGCTTCAGTGCAGCTGATTAAAAGGTTCCGTTTTATCCTGGGAAATTAGCAACACTGCACTCACTCAGACTGCACATCGTAAATTTAGCTACCAGCCACAATACTGGATAAAATTAACAAATCCAAGCCCAGGCTTTTGGAAAGGTTCAGGAATATGGAGTTACACGCAATGTGATCTTACTGAATAGTAGAACACGCTCAAAGAACAAAATATCTTACTCATGTTAGCATGCACCACATATTTTGAAAAAAAAACCCTCAATCTTCTAAAGAAGGAGCAGTCCCTCATTTCTACTCGAAAAGGGCAACATTCTCTCAGAGGAACTGTAAAAATTAAAGTCCACGGGATAATAAACAGCTTCCGACACACACACACACACAACTCAACAGGAAACCAGTGAGAATCTTCAGACATTCTGCGCCTCACCCTCTCATGTTCAGGAATGAACCATCAACAAAACTCAGCCTGGAAATCAGAAGGGAAATGCTTCCAATAAACACACGGCTCCAGTCAAACAGTTCGGCACAAAGCACCGAATAAACAGCTCTCTCAGCTGGATCTTCTCACACAGCATAAGGGGGATTTCCACCCCTAATTTTGCCCACAGGATAGTCAGACTGCCTGAAGGTTAGTGTGGATATTATGGGATACGATTTGTATAAAAGCTGCTCCTTCACTCACCACCTCCTCACTTGGTTTTCAGTCCCTATAGGAAGTGAACCAGCTCTGGAAGAGGAAGAGGTGGGAATGGGCACAGTGGGTGGGCTCTCTGACATCTTTAACAGCCAATCCAAATGTTTCAGGAAACTCATGTTGCTCCAGAAATAACAGTGTGGGGCTGGAGGAACACAGCAGACCAGGCGGCATCAGAGGAGCAGGAAATTTGACGTTTCGGGTCCAGACCCTTCTTCAGAAATGGGGAGGGGGGAAATACATAGAGAGAGGAGGGGTGGGGCTGAGGAAGGTAGGTGGGATGGTGATAGGTGAGTGCAAGTAGGGAGTGGTTGGTGGGATGGGTGGGACAGTTATTTCGGTTATTGTTTCAGTGTAGCTAATTGAAGAGTTCTGACTTATCCTGGAAAATTAGAGAAAGGCCAATACCTTTGGGTTAAATCTTTAAAGAAGGTAATGAAAGATACTTCCAAAAGTGTGTCTTCAGGAGTGGCAGCTGAATTACTATGGAGTTGGATTAACAATCCAGGGATTGAGAGTTCAAATCCAACCACAAAAAGTTACATACATAGAATTACAGTGAAAACCAGACCATTAAGCCCAGTGGTCCATACTGACGTTTATGCTTCACATGAACCTCCGCTCAACCCTCATCATCTTACCTGCAGCAGAGCCATCTATTCCTTTCTCCCTCATGTGTTGTCTAGTTTCTCTTGAAGATATCCCTGCTGTTCAACTTAAAGACTCCATATTATTAAGGTGCATTTAATAAATTTTGAAATTTGCTGCATAGAATGAAAAAAAACTTGAAACCTTCCAGGCGATCTTAAAAACCCAAATATTGTCCTGCTTTCAACATAGAGAGAACTGATCATTCACAGTCCACAGGATATTAACCAGCTCCCAAAACACATACATAAACTCAATAATAGGAAATCAGTAAGGATCCTCAGAAACTCTGCATCTCCCATGCCATATCCATGCTAACCCACTTCATCTAATACCTGTACCCACTGCATCGTCCCCAAGCCCTTCATGCTAACTTACTGCACTGTACTCACACCATCATACCAATATATAACCGTGGCCTCATCTACCACCTTTTACCCTTTCATTAAGCACCCAGCATCAGAAATGAGCAGGCCTCTGTAAAAAGTAGTTATTTTTTAAAATGCAGGCTTTGGTATATTGAGTAAAATTACACATCCACGTGGCATGGTGGCTCAGTGGTTAGCACAGTGCCAGGGACCCAGGTTCAATTCCAGACTTGGGCAACTGTCTGCATGAGTTTGCACATTCTCCCTGTGTCTGTGGGGGTTTCCACCAGGTGCTCCAGTTTCCTCCCACAGTCCAAAGATGTGCAGGTTAGGTGGATTGGCCATGCTAAATTGCCCACAGTGTCAAGGGATGTGAAAATTAGGTGGATTAGCCATGGAAAATGCAGGGTTACAGGGATAGGGTGGGATGCTCTTTGGAGAGTTGGTGTGGACCTGTTGGGCCAAATGGCCTGTTTCCACACTGTAGGGATTCTATAAAAACCACTTGTACTTCCTTCGACCAGATAAATCCTTTTAACAACAATGATTTCATACAAGTGCAACAAAAATTGTAAGTCATTGTCCCACAGAAAGTCTGACGACATTTACAGCAGTCAATGAAACTGAAATGAAAAGCATCACAGTGATCATGGAATCGTGCAAAATCAAGCATTCATCACTAATCAGTAATGAAATTTCTCAGGCTTATATCATCAGGCTGAAATGAAAAGCATTCATTACTTTTTTAAAAGAACTGTTGAGACCCTTTTTTAAAAATACTAATAGGTCTGAAGTTTTAAATGCCTCAATATTCTTGACAATTTTCTTTGACAATCTTGGGAACTTGACAGTCCTTTTGAATGCTTGTCAGATCCTTCAGAGCTATGACAGTTCTTAAACAGCTTTGATAGCTGCAATGTATCCACAATGTATCTACAGTTTATGAACAAGCATGTTCATTTTCAACAAGCCCAAAGGGCACCGAACCGCTCCTAAAAGTGTTCCAGGATCAGATCCGGTGGATACTTCAGCTATCCAAAAGGAAATTGCAAAGAATAGACCTCTAGTATGCCCTATGCATTGGGTTCCAAACAAACAGTGAGGATACCAAAATGTGATTGAAATGGACACGGTGGCTAACTTAAATGGCCAGCTGTCTCAGAATTGCATATGCAAACCCAAGGACATCCCCAGATTTGTCCGTGGAAATGGGAAACAATCCACTTGGGGGCCAGACATCTGTTTTTTTGGCATTTTTGCTCCAATGACAAGGTTCCCTGTTCTGGTGAAAATCTGCTCCATAATCTTAGATTTACAGAGGTTTTCCTGCAACCTCTCCCATTTTAATCAAGTCAGAAAGAAACGTCACTCACCAGTGGACAAAATAGAAAGTAAGTCATAAAGGAATAGCAAGCAGACCGCTTCAAAAGGGACAGAAATGATTTGAGAACCATGCCATGGAGCGGTGCACCTCAGATCTCCAATCTTAACTGGGACAGGGATGAAATGAAGAACAGGATCTTCAACATCGGTGAAGAAGATAGATTCAAACTAGAAGCCTCAAACTTTTATACTTTTACTCCACATTCTGGAGAAAAGAAACAGTGTTGTCACTAGTCACAGTAAACAAACATAGGAAGTAGTCACAGTTTTTCCATTTAATCAGGTTGCTGGGGACTGAGTTCAGGCAATAGATATATTGGTGACAGCATGAACACCCACCTTCAATGACACAGTTGAAGCTCCAAGTGACTGCTAACACCACTGCTTCTCTAGAACTGTTTTAAGCAGCCCTGATAAATTAATGAATTGCTACAGTTTGCAACTAGATTGTTTTGGCTGTTTACAGAAACACCAACCCTTAGATTCATAGACATAAACAACTATTTATGAAGATCTCTGCAAATTCATTTCGGTTCAACTCTTGTACTCAAAGTTGTAAAACTGTCATGAATAGAGCTGCTGACATCATTACAAACAACTGAAATTCCTGCACATATTTGTATTTCTGTAACTAACTCTCATGCAGCATCAATGATGTGGGAGTGAAAAGGTAATCCTCAAATGTTCAATTGTAGAACTCTGTAAATCACACAGAATAAAAGAACCAACATAAGGCTCAGAGTCTCCAGCTGTGACACAGAGAGAAACAATGTGGGAGGGATGGAGGGAGGAAACAGAATGAGAATGGAAGGGAACATGAGAGGTCCAGACTTTCAAGAGTTCTTCTTTATTTTCTCATAGGATATGGATGTCACCGGCTAGGCCAACATTTTATTGCCTATCCTTACGTTGCTCACAGAAGAGTTGAGAATCAACTACATTGCCTACATGTGACCCCAGACCTCTGGCAACATGCTGCCGCTTCGCTCCTGGCTCTGCCTACTACCTCATCCCTGGGCTGATCAACTACCGAGCAAGTATCCTGTTCTTTGCTGCAGCTTAATCTGGCTCAGCGGACTTGTCACCATTCCCAGTGCCCAGGCCTCAGGGTGAACAAATGTAGGGATGTTCGCATAACTCTCTACTACACCAAATACAGGGCCCTTCTGTATTTGCTGCTGAGAAGTTCAGTGAAATTAGACTCGATGAGCTTAGCAGCAGCAAATGTGGAAAATAAACAGCATCTAATTGAGGAGATGGAGGAATACAGCAGACCAGGAAAGCTGACGTTTCGGGTCGGGATCCTTCTTCAGAAATGGAGGAGGGGAAGGGGACTCTGAAATAAATAGGGAGGTGGGGGTGGGGCTGGGGAAGGTAGGTGGGATGGCGATAGGTGAGTGCAGGTAGGCAGTGGTGGGGATTGGTCAGTGAGGTGGGAGGAGCGGATCTGCGGGAGAGAACTCGGACAGGTCAAGGAGGCTCCTGGAACCACAGTGCAGCTTCTGGTCACAGAGGGGCACGACAGACATGATTTTCACCATGCAACAGCTACAGGAGAAATTCAGAGAAAAGAACTACCCCTGTATATGGCCGCTTTTGACCTTACAAACGCATTTGACACCATCAACCAAGAAGCATTATGGAGCTTCCTTCTCCACTTTAGCTGCATCATGAAGTTTGTCACCATCCTTCGCCTGCTCCATGATGTCATGGAAGTTGTGGTAATGAGAATGGCTCCACCACCAACCCATTCCCCATTCTGACTGGTGTCAATCAGGGCTGTGTCTTCGCCCCAATACTGTTCTTGATCTACCTCACTGCAATGCTTCACTTCACCGCTGACAAGCTCCCTGCTGGAATGGAGCTGACCTACAGAACCAGTGGGAAATTGTTCAATCTCCACCACCTTCAAGCCAAAACCAAAGTCACCCCAACCAGTATCATTGCGTCAGTCTTCCAGCAGATTCACAGAGTCTTGCGCAGGCAGTGGTACTGCTCCAGCACCTTAAGGTACCTTGCTGTAGACAGTCTATGACTCAGAGCTATACAGGAGGGCAGGAACCATCACAGCACTGTATACCACGACCTTGGTGTCTGATCTTTGAACAGCCTTTTCTTCAGCCGAAGGCTGCACTAGCACACTGGAGGCAGTGCTGGCTCTCTTCATCAATAGCTGCTCTAATCAACAGGACACTCCTGAGGTATTGGAAGTGGTCAATTTTCTCAAAGACCTCCCCATGGACATTGCCAGGTCATGTTGATGCAGGACCTTAGTCTTAGGTGAGACACATGTTATCACATGCCACTGTAAAAGGAGCTAACGATGGTCTAGAGTTTGTCCTCCGAGTTTGCACACATGTAAGCATCAACCACATACTGTTGTTCAATGATACTGATTGGGGTGACTTTGGCTTTGGCTTGAAGATTTAATAATTTCCCACTGGTTCTGTAGGTCAGCTCCATTCCAGCAGGGAGCTTGTCAGCGGTGAAGTGAAGCATTGCAGTAAGGTAGATCAAGAACAGTACTGGGGCAAAGACAAAGCCCGGATTGACCCCAGTCAGAATGGGGAATGGGTTGGTGGTGGAGCCAATTCTCATTACCACAACTTCCACGACATCATGGTGCAGGCGAAGGATGGTGACAAACTTCATGGTACAGCTAAAGTGGAGAAGGAAGCTCCACAATGCTTCCTGACGGTGTCAAATGCGTTTGTAAGGTCAAAGGCGGCCATATACAGGGGTAATTCTTTTCTCTGAATTTCTCCTGCAGCTCTTGCGTGGTGAAAATCATGTCTGTTGTGCCCCTCTGTGACCAGAAGCCGCACTGTGGTTCCAGGAGCAGTTCCTCAGCCACGGGGAGGAGATGTTTGAGGAGAACCTTGGTGATGACTTTCCCAATGGTCCACAGCAGGGAGATTCCCATATACAGGTAGTTCTGCTCTAAATGTGTGTTTCATTAATGCGAATTGGCTGTAACGTGATTGATGAATAGTGGACGCTGTTTGGACAATGTGAACTTTCTGCTATACAGGTATAGCAGTTTCCTTATAGCGTGATTTTCTATAGCGTGACATCATACAAGAAAACAACTATTGCGTTACCACAATTGGATTTATCCTTTTTTTTGAAAATGCTCACGACGGTGGCATCTCAGAACTGTCCCACATGCTCTCCTCCTTCAAGATAAGGCAGACAATGGGGGGGTAGCTGCAGAGGATCTCTTTGCCTCCGCACTTCAATGCCTCAGCAGGGGTACCATCTGGTCCAGTTGCCTTGTTGTTCTTAAGCTGGTGGATGGCCTTCTCTACTTTGTGCAGCACGGGGGTATTGCTGAGGTCATGGCGTGCAGCGTGCTGTGGGATGCAGTCAAGAATGCTCAGATCAACTACAGAGCCCTGGGTTGAGGAGATCTCTGAAGTGCTCCCCCCAGCATTGTTTGGTGGCTTCTCTGTCTTTGATAACAGTAAGTCCATTCTTGGCTGGCAGTGGAGTTTGCTTTTGATGTTTGGGCTGTAAGTGGTCTTGACAGCACAGAAGAAACATTGCACATCATGGTTGTCAGCATTCATTGGGCCTCTAGTGCTTTCTCCACCCACTGCCTGTTCTTTATGTCACAGATTTGTTGTTGTACCTCGGCCTTTAGTCACCTGGAGGTCTCCCTTCTCTCTTCCAGTGATCAGAACTGGGCTAGTGGGGCACTTTATATCACCAACCTTAACTGAATATTCTGAACGATGCCCTGATAAGAACGGGGAACGATGCTCAACTGATCGATCGCCAGTTCTGACATGCCACAACAAAAAACTGCAACGATGTCCTCAGAAGACAGATACAGGACACAACCAATAGAGTACCTTTTGTCCTCCAGTGCTTCCCTCGAGTGGAGAAACTACGCCATGTTCTTCGCAGCTTTCAACATGTCATCAGTGACAAACATCTCACCAAGATCATCCCTACGCCTCTACTTCTTGCCTTCAAACAACCGCCAAACTTTAAATAGACCATCGTCCGCAGCAAACTACCCAGCCTTCAGGACAACGCCACAAAGCCCTGCATCGGCAACCTATGCAAGTCAGATCATCAACATGGATACAACCGTCACATGTGGAAGCACCACCTACCATGTACACGGCAGAGACTCATGTGACTCGGCCAATATTGTCTACCTCATACGCTGCAGGCAAGGATGCCACGAGGCATGGTATATTGGGGAGACCATGCAGACGCTATAACAACAGATGAATGGACACCGCACAATAATCATCAGGCAGGAATGTTCCCTCCCAGTCGGGGAACACTTCAGCAGTCAAGGACATTCAGCCTCTGATCGTCGGGTAAGCGTCCTCCAAGCGACCTTCGAGATACACAACAGTGCAGAATCGCCAAGCAGAAACTGATAGCCAAGTTATGTACCCATGAAGACAGCCTCAACCGTGATCTTGAGTTCATGTCGCACTACATGTGACCCCACCATACTGTTGTTTATCTGTAAAAATCTTCCCTACTGTCCTGTTTTGACACCATCACCTTGATAACTTATGATCTCTCTACCTTAATTAGTTTGTATAGTTTTGGATTACTTGTTACGTTGGTTAGACCCTCAGCATGCAACTCTTATACCTATCACGTTACTCCAGTCATTTCATTCGTCTCCAGCACTACCTTATTTTTAAGTTTCTGTAATTATCTCTCGACCTCATTTCATCGGACTACAGGTCATCCCTTAACTTGTTATTCAGCTGTTGACACTTTACCCACACCGTCTGACACTCTTGATCACCTGCAGAGATATTTTATTCAGCTTGTCGACACTCCACTCACACCCTTTTGATGATCTGATGATCTTTTGATCTTTCTGATTATAAATTCTGTGCTTGAGTACTTCTTTCTTACTTCACCTGATGAAGGAGCAGTGCTTGTGATTTCAAATAAACCTGTTGGATTATAACCTGGTGTCATCTGACTTCTGACCTCAGCCTTAACTGGGACAGGTCCTGTCCTCTATTTAGACCCTTTGGCCAGTGAGGGAGATATATTTGAAACTGGGAACATCAAACTTTTGTACTTCTACTCCATCGCCTTTAGAAAACACAGTCTGTAATTAGACACAAAAAAACAAATTTAGAATGTATCCACAGATTGTTCACTTAACTAATTTGACAGGGGCCTTGGTTCAGCTGATAAATATGCATTGGCAGAATCACATGGCAATGCCAATATGCAAGCTCATCTTGGTTTCCTGACATCATCTTTCTTCTAGATATCAATGGTCCAGCAATAGGTGAACTACCAGAATGCACAGTCTGATCATGATTTGAGAGATTCAAACCACAATGCATGGGGAAGATTACATCCTTGTGATGGATTATTTCGCTAAATTTCCCACTGTTCAACAAATTAGCCACAAATGTGACTGGCACTTGCATGATGACTTCTGTTTTCAGTTTCTCCAGTGTTCTGCTAAGATGCTGGTGGAGTAGGGCTTCTGAGCCTGGGGGTCATCTGCTTTCCATTTTGTTCCTTTTCTTTGGTCTCTTTTCTCAATTTTTTTTTCTTTTTTATGAACTTATCTCTTGTTCAGGAGCTTGGTCGCAACAATGGCACCAAACAATCAGCGGCAGTGAGTGGGCCTAGCAGCGTAGACTCAAGCAAGCCCAACAACGCAGACTCATGGCAGCGGCATCAGAAGCATATTTGGGTTCCCCACGGCTTCTGCATCATCAAGGCAGTCCTAGCAATGATTCATGGCGGTTGTGGTGGTGGTGAGTTTGGGCCCAGTACAAGACCTGGCGGCATCAGCTAGATGGGCATGAAACGGTTTCATGGTGCTGGCGCAGTTGGGTTTGGACGAGCATAGTACCCATCGGCATCAGTGGCGTCTGCATTGGCGACATCCATTGAGGTGTCATAGTGGCAAGGGCTTCGGTGGAGGCAAGATGGCGCTGATGAGTGGTGACTTTCATTCTAGTGGCAGCAGCACAGCAAAGGGGACTTGGACCTGTCTACCAGACCCATGGCCCATGATGGAGCACTTAACAGGAAGGACTATAAAGTTGAATACTTCTTTATTTCTTTATTTTTCTACCTTTAAATTCTATGTTTTGGAGTTTTTCTGTGTTTTAAGATGGCGCCGGAGAGTGGAGAAAATACACTTTTCACTGTATTTTGTAATAAAATACACTCGACAAGAAATAAGTCAGATCAAATATTCCTGAACGGATAGTGTTTCATGACGGGCCACAATTCACTGGCAAACCAAAAGTTTGGAATGATTCATATTGCATCACTCACTAATTATGCACAAAGTGTCTAGCAGAACAGATGGTACATTCTATCAAATCAATGATTATTAATAGTCAAGCAACAGAACAAAATTTCCATATTGCATTTCAGTATGAAGAAGGGATTACTAACCTAACTCAACATATACCCAGAAGGCAAGTGCAAACAATCTTGTTCAGCAACAACTGCCTAAGGATTCCAAGGCACAGGACATTCTTCTTTGAAGACAAAGGAGACAGAAAGACATACATAGGCAATGATCAGATACAGAACTACCAAAAAACTGAACATTGTACTGAAAGTATAAGTTAAAAATTCAAAAACAAATACTTATATAGTAGCAAACGTTTCAACAAAATGCAACCACCCAATCAATCATTCAAGATCATTACTTATCGTGGTGCTATATTGTAAAGGAATAGAAGCCAGCTCTGAGCAATATACAGCACACCAATCATATATGAAGAAAATGAGGAAGAAAACTTCAGCAATGATGATTATGCAGTCATGTTGAGTGACAGCAACCAGTAAGCAAGAAATCCAAGTTGGCAAACCAACTCAAAAGAAAATAGCACATAACTTGGGAATATGATCAGAATTAGTTGTCAGCCCTCAAAACCATTAAAGTTCAGATTATCATCCTGTAAACTCTGTTTTATTTGTTTATATAATTGTCAACTTTACAATAGATACCTATGGGCAACTTTGTATATCTCTATGGGATAATTTCTTATCTTTGGAAAAAGGGGATGGTCATGTCTCACTGCAGTATGTCAGTATATCTTCAAAAAGATACAGTATGACAGTATGAAAATGTGTTCTTGATATTATCACTATATTACAGCATGTAACCTGTGACTTAAAGGCCCCAGAAGCCTTACACCTTAAGCATGACACCTTAATAGAATCATGCTATTCAGTATAACTTAACAACTTAACTTTAGTGCAGAAACTGATGTACTGTGGGTGTAATTTTTTTATATATTAGTGAGCTTTCATAAACGTCCTTTGGATGTTATTATGTTATCCACATTTAGTTTCTTATGTTACAAAGAATAACAGAATCATTGGAGGTAATATTCATATTTGGCATTAGTTCTAAACTATCACAACACAGAATCACTGAAGCTGAAAATCACCGCTCGTACCTTTGTCTCACAAGAACTGCTTTAAACTTGCCTTGATAAACTGATCCAGTTTTTAACCAGGCTATGTATGTTTAGAACAAACACTATTTTTTCAACTCGGAGATATAAATTACCATTTATCAGGACTCCTCCAAATCCATTTCCGTTCAATTCCTTCATAAAGAGTTGTAAACTGTCCTCAATACAGAAATTCCTGCCAGCATTTGTACCTCTGTAACTAACTGCTGCGCAACATCCATTAAGTAGGAGTGATCAAGACATTCTCAAATGTTCTATTGTAGAACTCTAAGTCCCACAAAATAGAAGAACTGGAACTGATACCACTTTATGAACAGCCATGTAATATATCCAGTTAGGACTGCAGTTTCAATGTCCATGTATTATTACACCCAAATCAGGGTGAGAGACACCTGAACTGCTAGATCCACAAAGGTTCCCAAATGCAACTAAAGTTGACTACAAGACAAAACAAAATGCCTGACTGAACCATTGTTATCTTGTTGAATCAAGAAAAGAGATACAATTGCAATGAAGTCTTCAAAGATCAAAACAAATTTAACAGCAATTTCTACTTCATAGACATTGTTGAGAAGACTATATTGAACAAATTAATTCACAAGCTGATTTACAGTTACATGGGCTCCCGTGCATTGATATTCATGTGCAGGAAAACTTTTAAACAGTGTCCAATGACTTTATATAGTCTTGTGAGGGCTCTTAAAATGAATGCTCTGGATTATTCAAACTATATTGCAGTCCAAATAAAAGCGAGAAGGATTTGACAGATTTTTTCCTCAGTATTCTCTGAATCAGTGATTGGTTTTGTAATAAGTATTGACGAAATTTCATTCCTTGAATCAATTTGAGTGGACGTATTTTCACTGTCTGATTGGTTCACCTTTCAGTGTCCTGAAACTCGGCTAAAACACTCTAATTGGATAATCAGGGATTCCAGGCGCGTGCTCATTGCGACATCTGTTCGAACATGTTCTCGTGCACGCGGCGGGGTAATGGAGGGTCAAAAGAAATCATTGCGTTCACTAGAGCTCAGAGGAAATAAGGGGGAGGGGAAAGTGACAGACTCAGTGGGAAGGAGATCGTGGGAATTTGTGAAGATCACATGATTAATTTTTTGGTACGTGTTGAGAATAGGAATGGCCGGGGTGATCCACAAGAGATGCAGAGGGAATTATTGAGGTGAACTATAGAATTGAAAACACCTCTGTACCAAGGTCTCTAATGGACAAGTCCATAAGTTGAGGTTTCAGATCAGTAAAGAACAGCAAATCTTTTGCACGTGTTAGGAAATATTTTAGATTTGATTAACAAGACTCACCATCCAACGAACTCCAAACGTGAAAATGTTTCTCGATTCTGAAAAACTGACCTAAACAGAAAGCACAAAAGTAAATACCAATATTGAAAATACCAGACTCTGAATAATACAGAACAATAGTTATCCATGAGCTGAGTTAAGAATGTGTGTACCCTTCTCAAGTCCGAGACGTAAAATCCAGGATTGTGGTGCACTCTTTCCCGCCACGCTCTGTACCTGGAGACCAAACCAACCAGGGATTCAGCTCCGAGCCCACAGCTTGAAACCCCCACCTTGCTGCTGAAATTACCGAGATAGTCAAAAGGACACGTTGACTGTAAAAACTCATCAACAGATCGTTGGTTTTTAATGAGCCACTAACATGGGGATGTAATTTATCTGATGGGACGACAATAGACGTTGGACACTGACTATGTCTCTATAAAAGCTGTGGCCACAACTTCCACATCACAGTGACCATTAGAGCGGGTTTCACACAAAATAATCCAAATTTTCCACTCCTTCCTCACAGAAATATTCCTATAATTAGTGCTTAAATGTTTTATATTGAGACAGTAATATCTCTAATGGAAGAAAAGATGCCAACGTTTATCAAGTCTGTCCCAAAATCTTGTGAAAACCCAACATCTTCAGAAATATCTTGGACATTGCAGTAAAAACTCACATTTGGTGAGAAAATGTTGGGGAGGTTTTCTCTGGAAGTGCCTTCCTGTGTTTGATGGAGGGAGACAATCCATCTCCTCAAACATTAACTGAATTACAACCCCAAGCCCAGAAAGCTTCCCCCTTCACTGAGGTTGTTTAAAACCTCCACAAGGACTCAGCTCAATTCACCCAAACCCTTCACAATCCCGCTCCGAACTACATGGCCTATGCTGCATGCAAAGCCCGCGCCGTGGCAGTGTGGAGTCTGTGGGAAATCAGCCCGCGGCGCCTGACGGGAATTGCAGTTCTACCCCGCTCAAAGTCAATTGGCGTCCAACGTTCGGGAGTTCAAATCTGAAAGTGCGCGAGCCGAACAGCTGTCGCGTGGGCGGTGCTGGAATTGAAGGTGCGCCCCTGGTGGCGGTAAAGGGATCTTTTCCTTTCCCCCACCTCGAACCCAATTCCTGCTGCAGCCATTTCCCACCTTCAGGCTCATGCCTAACCCTGCACTCCCTTTCTTCCGCTTCTTCGCTTCATCAACATGGTCAAATGGATTATGTCGCTACGTTCTACATTTCTTTACTATAGCTGGTGACCGACTGTTTTATCAAGGCTATGAAGTGAAAATATAAAAGTCTGAGTCAGAGATAACAAGGTGTAGAGCTGGAGGAACACAGCAGGCCAGGCAGCATCAGAGGAGCAGGAAAGCTGACGTTTCTTCAGAAATAGGGGAGGGGAAGGGACTCTGAAATAAATAGAGAGAGAGAGGGAGGCGATGATAGAAGGTGAATAGTGGAGCAGATAGGTGGAGAGAAGACGGACAGGTCAAGAAGGCAGGGACGAGAGGGTGGGGTTGGTCTTGGGATGAGGTTGGGGGTGGGGCAATTTTGAAGCTTGTAAAGTCCGAATTGAGACCATTGGGTTGTAGGCTTCCAAGGCGGAATAGGAGGTGCTGTTCCTCCAGCCTCCGGGTGGCATCGATGTGGCACTGGAGGAGGCCCAGGATGGACATGTTGTCCAAGGAGGGGAAGTTGACGTGGTTTGTGACTGGAAGGTGTTGTCGTTTGTCACAAACCAAGTGTAGGTGCTGTACAAAGTAGTCTCCGAGCCTTCGCTTGGTTTCCCCGATGTAGAGGAATCGGGAACAGCGGCTACAATATACCACATTAGTGGATATGCAGGTGAACATCTGCTTAACGTGGAAGGTTTTCTGGGGCCTGGGATGGAGGTGAGGGGCGAGGTGTAGGGGCACGTGTAGCACCTGCTGTGGTTGCAGGGAAAAGTGCCAGCGGTGGTGGGGTTAGTGTGGAGCGGAGGAGGGAGTCACGGAGAGAGCAGTCCCTCCGGAAGGCAGATAAGGGTGGGGAGGGAAATATATCCTTCGTAGTGGGGTCAGATTAGAGGTGGCGGAGAATGATGCGTTGAATCCGGAGGTTGGTGGGATGATACGAGAGGACAAGGGGAATTATGTCTTTGTTTTTATTGCGGGGAGGGGGTGTGAGGACTGAGGTGCAGGAAACAGAACAGATGCGGTCGAGGGCGTTTTCGACCACTGTGAAGGGGAAATTGAGGTCCTTGAAAAACGAGGACATCTGGTATGTCCAGGAGTGGAACGCCTCATCTTGGAAGCAGATGCGGTGGAGGCGAAGGAATTGGGAATAGGGGTCTGTCAGATTCGAATATATCTCCCTCACTGCTGCTGAAACTCCTGTCCTTCACTCAGTCCTTGGTCCAGATAAAGAAATTGGAGGTCAATGCATCATTCTCCGCCACTTCCGCCACCTCCAATCTGACCCCACTACCAAGGGTATATTTCCCTCCCCACCGCTCTCTCCATGACTCCCTCCTCTGCTCCACACTAGCCCCACCCTGGCACTTTTCCCTGCAACCACAGGAGGTGCTACACGTGCCCCTACACCACTGCATGGCAATTTATTTCTCTCCTTCAGTTCAGTTCTGATTGAATAACAACATCAAGGAACTGGAGAAAATGCAAACATTGATAAGGATGAGATTGAGAATTGAGAGATTGTACCTCTCAGAGTGATTGAACAGGCCAGCTATTCCCCAGAAAAGAGAAGACTGAGGACTGACATAATCGAAGTCTTTACAATGAGGAATTTAACATTAAGAATTTGGAGGTAAATTGAGAGAAGACAATATTACCTGTCTGGGGAGGAGTCCAAACCAAAGGACCATAATTGTAACCAGGTCAATAATAAATTCAAAGAGCAATCAAGGGGATAAGTTTTCACCAAGAGAATGATTAAAATATGGAATTTGCTCCCACAGGAAATGGTAGAGGAAATGTGCTCTGAATTTTGCCAGGGTATAGAGCATCTCTGCTATGAATAAAGTGCCAGAAGAGCTCAAGGATCACAAGTCTCCGTCCCAAACCTGGTACCTGGGATTTTGTTGGGATCGAGGACTGGCTGCACTTCACGAGATTACTGAGATCCATTTAAAGGGAATTTTGGAGTCACTAGCATCTGGAATTAGAGTGGAGATTGGACCAGATAAGAGCAGTTGTGTCTTTAGCATTTCTTTTTGATAATGAGGGAACCCACTTAGAGTGCTGAGGTACTCCTGCAGGTATGATCCCAGGACACCTTGGGGGTGAAGGTCAGGGCTTATTTTGCGGCGGGGGGGCACTTTTGAGAAAGTTGACAATTGAGAATATTTATGTAGATGGTGCATAGACTTCTTGCCCATCTTGTCCTGTTAAGAAGTGTCATCAGGTATGCACAAATCAACAAGTGTAGAATTATCTAGAAGTCTCAAAATGTATATTTAGAAATGAGAAAGCTTTTCTGTGCTGAGTCTGCAATACTTTTCTGTTATATGCATGGGTACTTGGATTTTTAAAATTCATTCATGTGATTTGGAGTTACTGGCTGGCATTTGACCCCTTTTGAAGAGGTAAAGTATTTCTTTGAATCTGATCCTGAGACACCTTAGTGGGCATAAGGAACCCTTTGGGATTGCGAAAAGGCATGCTTCTATGTAAAGTATTGCAATTAAACTCATTGTGATCAAGAAACTGTCCAAAATACATGCAGTTAAATAGTGCTATCTTTTCCAGAGTGCTGGTGATATAAAACCATTATAGGATTTCTGCTGCATTATTGATTTAGAAAATTATCATTTTCACAATGGGTGGTACTTGATGAGCAGCTCCAACTGCTTGCAGAGTGAAAATGTTCACTGATGTAAGGCTATTTGCAGATGCTAAAGTGTTCACATAAGGTGAAATAATGTAATATTTGCTGATATTAAGGATGAGTTGAAGCAATTTCAATGTATTGCATTGTTTGTATCAATTAGAGTGTGTTTTTATTTCAGCAGTAACATGGTCAATAGACTGAACTTTAATTTCTTTCAAGATGCTTGTTAATTAACACCTATGTTAGAAAACAGGTGAATTAGAGGGAAGGGTGTTGAGTGGAGGATGTGAGTTGGCACTGAGTTGGTATAGTGGCAGCAAAGTGCCATGGGAATTATTGAGGGCATAAGGGTATACAGGGCCATACCAGATGGGTCGATTGGCTTGGGGTATGAGGGGGTCATATGGTGTGAGAAGAGGAGCTTAGATTAACATGAATGGGGTGTGGAGAGAGAGGGGGTAAAAGCAGCAGGAATGCATTCTGGTTGAATATTAATTTTAACCTTTGAATGCAATGCTGAAATCCCCAGGCAGGCATTCCGCCAAGTCACCTTGGAAACTAGCCACCTGGAGGGCTCTTCCTAGGGCATGATCTGACTCAGTATCCAATCTACTTCCACAAACTGAAAATCAAGGTATGGGTGGCCATTTTTTATAAGTCAGTTCATGCAGTCGACATATCTCCTGACTCTGTAACTGGATCCGGTAATGAAAAACCCTGTCAATTTGGCCCTGACAACTTTAATCCACTTTTATGGAATAATCCATCTGAAGTTGGACTCAAAGCCACAACCTTGTTCGCTGAGTCAGAGGGTTGTGGACCTCCTGGACTTGAGCACAGCTAATCATGCTGACAGTCCAGAACAGTACTGAGGGGTGGAAGAGATTACAGAGATTGGGAGGGGTGAGGCCATGGAGGAATTTGAAAACAACCTCACAACCCTCTGTAAAACCAACACTGAGCTTTCCGAGGAAGAATGGGTTATTCCTCAACTTCTATTCCTGATACATTGTTAGAACTGTGTCTAAACAACAGAACTTTCCCGAGTGAATGAAAGTAGAATGGTCCATCAGCCGTACTGAGTGAAGACAATCCCTATGATGTCCATTCCAGCTGACACCAGGGACTTTACCACCTTTCACAGTTTCAGGAACCCAGACACAAAGACAGCACGGACACCTGCAGCTCGAACTAGTTACCACTTCAAATCAAATTAAACTTTCAGGCTGCCAGTTCGCAGGAAACTGAATCTAATATAACAGAAATATCATAAGTTATTGTCAGTCATGGGAGGGCTAGATTGTAATCGGCATGTCAGGAGGGTGATGGCGAAAGACTCAAGGAGGTGGCTGGGGTCAGATGGGTAATTGGAGTCTTTATTCTGACTAATATTTCAGGCTGGTACACACAAACTATCTGAGGTCTCCACACCTAACTCACAGTCAGAGACATTCACAGACAATCCTGGGAAGCAAATCAGATGTTCAAATTTCCTGGACAATTTCCATGAATTCTACACATCAGCACTTCCACGGGGTCCCAACACACATTTCTCATTATTCCAGTCTCTGTAGGTGTGAAGACTAGAAGATTTGACCCAATATGTCATAAAAGATATTTGTCCCTGATGTCTGGGTCCTACAAACAATGTCATAGAATCAGATTATGTAGTCACTGTCACATTGCTGTTTTTAAAAACTTGATGTCCGTATGAAAATGCAGTTTGTAATTTATACATTTAGAATGTAACTTTCAACTTTCTGGGATTAAGTTTTTCACTGTATAAAATAGGAGCATTTTTTTGAGCAATTGGTAAGTAACTCTGATGTGAATATAATTCAAAAAAGGTTGGAGTCTCTGACAGTAAAAAAAATGAACCAATTTTGCAAACTCCAGGGAGAATAAAATAAACCATAGGGGGATCATCTTTCAGTATCTAACATAGCTAAAAATCTGAATTATGAAAACCAGGTGAAAGTAGCTGGAAGCATCTTCATGAACAGGATGGTTTCTTCATGAAATTAGGGAGTCTGGGGAAGAGGGCAATCACGTCCACTAGTAATATTCATTATTCATATGGGCGACACAATCAAAGAGCTGAGTAGAATTTCTTCTGTTTACTTTAGCTGGGTGTTTGATCACAGGAGGCACTTACAGTTTTGCTTTCATGTAGTCTG